GGGGGGGGGGGGGGGGGGTGTTAATTTGTACCTGCTAAAAATGGAAGGATAGTCTTTATGTCTTCATATATAGCAGTGTAAGACGAGTAGGGAAATGTAACAGCAAGACTGGAAATCAAACCTTCAATTTCTAGATTTTACTATCTGTGAGAATTTCAAAACAAAAGGATAGCATATTTAAAGAACTATATATAAGTGTAAACTTATTTATAAAATTAAGGGAAAGTGTACTAATTGATAAGCATAATTATAAATTAGAACTGTTGCTAGAAAAACCGACTTCTACGTCAATTCGCCTGTGCCAAGAACTGTAGGAATACTTCTTTCGAGAATGCTTTTAAACAAATATGCAAAACTAAGTAAATTGGGGAGGTTACTTCAATTTTTTTATTTTATACCTATCCCCTCAATAAAACTGCTATGCTGATAGTGTATTTACAGTACTAAGGGATGGTTTATTTATAGTTATCTACATATACAGAACTTATTGATAAAATCTTTATACAACTAAGGTAGTAGTGTACACTAGCGTACGGTGGCCATGGGTGATATTTTTGTACAATGAATAACCCCTGTAATATTACATGTATCAAAACTTGAGACTACATTTTTTTGGCCATTTATTAATCCGTGTCTATACACAACAAAAGCTAGCTAGCTTTTCATGTAGTCTATTTTTGTACTCAGCACATGTGCAAATATTGTGAAAAATCCAGTTTGAGGACCTATGCTAAAGTGTGAGTTTCTGCGACCAAGTAGGTGATATTTAATTTAAGACAGGTTTTAAGAAAAAAATACTACTTGTGTGGGTCAAATTTTGGGTTAAAAATCATGAGTTTTAACACTTTTTGGCATTTTTTGATGTGGTAACCATGGTTTTCACAAGTCCCAAATGTGGGGAAATCACCTTTTAAATCATTCTTCAAAAAAAACGTATTCAAAATTATTTTTAGGGTCAAGCCATTTCTACTGTACTCTGCTACCTAAGGGATGAAATATTTATAGAACTACATTTTCATATTATAGAATAATTACAGAATTCAGTGATAGTTCGGTTGACTCTATTTAGTAAATTTTGACAGTTGCCACTTTTTTCCTGGATGCAGCATTAATTTGACATTTCAAGTATATCCTTGGCTTAGTGAATCCTGGCCAGCATCTAGCAATGCACCCTGATCATATCAACCATCAGTCCAGACTATCTCACCACCAATCTGAACATTTTTATCACACTGTCCACCAATTCATACCACATGCCCTATGGTAAACCATATCTCACCAGCAGTCAACAAATATTTTCACACAAGTGTCTAATTCAGCTGGCCTCTCCAGCAGTCAATTACGATTATCTCATCAAAATTGATTAAGATTATCTCATATCAGCAAACCCAGATTATCTCGTAAACAGCAAACCCAGATTATCTCACAAGACGCAAACCCCGATTATCATGTAAACAACAAACCCAGATCATCTCACAAGCCGCAAACCCAGATTATCTCACAAGACGCAAACCCAGATTATCTTGTAAACAGCAAACCCAGATTATCTTGTAAACAGCAAACCCAGATTATCTCGTAAACAGCAAACCCAGATTATCTCGTAAACATCAAACCTAGATTATCTCACAAAAAGTCAACCCATGTTTTATCACCAGCCGCGAGCGGCCAACCTAGATTATCTCACAAGTGGCCAACCTAGATGATCTCACAAGCGGCCAACCCAGATTTTCTTGCAAACCCAGATTATCACGTAAACAGCAAATCTAGATTATCTACCATGCAGCCAACCCAGGTTATTTCATCAGAAAGCAAACCAAATTATCACACAAGCAGGCAACCTATGGCCAGATTATCACACAAGCGGTTAACCTAGATTATTTCACCAGCGGCCAACCTAGATTATCTCACAAGCAGCCAACCTAGATGATCTTACATTTTAGCCACAAACCCATGATTATCAAGTAAACATCAAACCTAGATTATCTCACAAGCCGCAAACCCAGATCATCTCACAAGCCGCAAACCCAGATTATCTCACCAAACGCAAACCCAGATTACCATGTAAACAACAACCCCAGATTATCTCACAAGCCGCAAACCAAGATTATCTCACAAGACGCAAACCCAGATTACCATGTAAACAACAAACCCAGATTATCACACAAGACGCAAACCCAGATTATTTCACAAGCCGCAAACCCAGATTATCTCACCAAACGCAAACCCAGATTACCATGTAAACAACAACCCCAGATTATCTCACAAGACGCAACCCCAGATTATCTCACAAGACATAAACCCAGATTATCATAACAACAAACCCAGAATGTCTCGAAAGACATAAACCCAGATTATCATGTAAACAACAACCCCAGATTATCTCACAAGCCGCAAACCAAGATTATCTCACAAGACGCAAACCCAGATTATTTCACAAGCCGCAAACCCAGATTATCTCACAAGACGCAACCCCAGATTATTTCACAAGCCGCAAACCCAGATTATCTCACCAAACGCAAACCCAGATTACCATGTAAACAACAACCCCAGATTATCTCACAAGACGCAACCCCAGATTATCTCACAAGACATAAACCCAGATTATCATAACAACAAACCCAGAATGTCTCGAAAGACATAAACCCAGATTATCATGTAAACAACAAACCTAGATTATCTCACAAGACGCAAACCCAGATTATCTCACAAGACATAAACCCAGATTATCATGTAAACAACAAACCTAGATTATCTCACAAGACGCAAACCCAGATTATCATGAAAACAACAAACCCAGATTATCTCACAAGACGCAACCCCAGATTATCTCACAAGACGCAAACCCAGATTACCATGTAAACAACAAACCCAGATTATCTCACAAGCCACAAACCCAGATTATCTCACAAGCCGCAAACCTAGATTATCTCACAAGACGCAAACCCAGATTATCATGTAAACAACAAACCCAGATTATCTCACAAGACGCAAACCCAGATTATCTCACAAGACGCAAACCCAGATTATCTCACAAGACGCAAACCCAGATTATCATGTAAACAACAAACCTAGATAATCTCGCATGCAGCCAACCCTGGTTATCTCACCCGAAATCAACTTAGATGATCTCACAAGAAATCAATCCAGGTAATCATACCAGCCATCAACTTATCATTACAAACATGTTATGTAAGTTTTGTCGTGCCTGTTTTTTAAAATATACAAACTTGAAACAATTATGTTAACAAATGCTGAAAGATGTCTTTACTGATTAAAATTGCCACACAGGTGTATAATTTACAAAGCTTGTCAAGGTGGTAAGATTAGAAGGTAGGACGGAGATATATTCTCTCAATTTGTATGGTTTTCAGGCTAGAGCTATATAGGATAAAAGGGTTATGGCTAGTATCTTGTAAATGTATGTTAAAATATTGTTACAGTGTACTAATGTTATAAAACAGGTTGGTGAGATATAAACCCTAGGAACATTACTCTTGTGTCCCCACCCTGAGTTATAATGTTACCACCATCACAAGCTGCTGACATGCTTCATCAAGTTGCTCTAAACTCAGAGACCTAGTTATACAGAAAATGATTGGGAAATATTTGAACTTTCCATATCTCTACAAGAAAATATCAAAAGGCAAATCCAACATGTCATGACTATAGAATTACCACATTTTATAGCACATTCGTGACTGAACACAGAAGTCAGTGGAGCAAACAATTTGTAGACGTAGAACTTTATGACTATAGGTATAATTATCGTGATTATGTGTAATAAAAGGTACAATAAAAATGATGGTGAACAGTAAGTGAATTGTCAACCATACCAGAATATAACAAGACAAAAATCCTTCCTCAATTTCAATATCAGTCACCAGTTACTCTAGATCTTGTTATCTGAATATAAGACAGGAAGTTGAAATACTACTACTAACTTGAGACCATGGTGATCATCTTAGATTTCTTATTTATCAAAAGAATGAAAATCACAATGCTTAGTCAGGACCACAAGAGCAACATTTGTATAAAGGTTTGTGATAATTAACCTGTTGGAAATTGAGAAGCAGAAAATATATACAACTTTGCAGTCCCTTAACTTGGTCTTGCACTATTCAGGTATAATCTATGCAAAAATGTCTTAACTCATATTTAAGATGTCTTTTAAAGATTAACTCCTTCTTCCCTTTTTGCCCTCTGTCATCTGTCCAAGGCTAAGGGGAAACAGTCCCTTCATGTATACAATGTTAAATTACCAAGGATGCACCATGCCAAATTTCAGCCAACTCCCTTCAAACACACTGAAAGGGTACTCCTTTAAAGATTAACCCAATCTCCTATTTGGGCCCCCCAACCCCTGGAGACACCCATCACTTATTGAACCTTCTTGCTTGAAGGATGCCCACTCCAAATTTAGGCTAAATACCTTCAACTGTTCTGGAAAAGTATGTTTAAACAAATTTCTAATACTTTAAAATATTTAAGGGACTACATTAATTAATTATTGATGTGGAAATCAGCATGTAGACTAAGTAAAATACAATACTTGTCATATGTCATCAAAGGATAAGAATTTTAAAATATTGGTAAATGTTCCCTTTGGGGCCTCACCCTAGCCTCGGGGATAAAATATACCCTAAAGTGTTATTTCCCTATACAGTGTATAAACTATAGTAAACTTTACCCCCACCCAAAGGGGGAATGGATGGCTCGGGGGTCCTGAAATTGACAATTTCAATAAATCTACTGATGATCTTTAATTTCTATCCATGCACTGAAATTGACTGTAGTACCTCTGAGTCATGAGAAGAAGGTTTTTTGAAATATTGATTAATTTTCCCTTGGGGGCCCCACCCTGGTCCCAGGGATTGGGGTTGGAATCTCAATTTTACAATTTGAAACTATCTTCATCCAAGGATAATTCTCACCAAGTAAAAACAAATCCTATAGAAAATCGTCAATAATATACCCAAAAGTGTTATTTCCCTATATAAACTATAGTAAACTTTACCCCCTCCCCAAGGGAGAACGGATAGCTTGGGGGTCCTGAAATTACAATTTAAATAAAGCCCCTGATGGTCTTTCTTTCCATGCAGAGAAAATGACTGTAGTACATGTACCTCTGAGCCTGGAGAAGAAGATTTTTGAAATATTGGTTAATTTTCTCTTTGGGGCCTTGCCCTGGCCCCAGGGGTTGGGGTAGGAATCCCAATTTCACAAATTTGTAGCCTCATCTACCAAGGATGATTCTGACCAAGTTTGAAAAAATTCCATCCACTGGTTCTTGAGAAGAAGTTGAAAATGTAAAAAGCTCAGGTGACCTAAAAAGTCAACTGTCCAGACTAACAAGATTCTACCATGTACATGTAATATAACAAGGTGACTAATTGTACCATAAGCAGTGTAAAGAAGTTTTCTGCAAACAGAAGAGGTGATGGTGTATACGTCTACTCACCCTGAAGGAACTCCTGAGGAAAGATATGAAGTTTCTACACACAGGCAACAGGATTAGCATACAGTTGAGGTTGAGGGCAGCAGCACTTCCTCGGGCCCAGGCCAGGGCAGGCTAGGAAAATGGAAAAAATGTCATAACATACATATGTACGAAAATATGATTTTTAACATAGACTGATAGACATGGAGCGGACATGTTGGAGGAGTGGGGAGGAGGGGGAATGCAATGGTTCAAGGCAAAGGCAGACTTGGGACAACATTATCATATTTGACATATATATGTGCATACTTGTACATATACACTGAATTAGATGGATGGGTGTGTGGGGTGTACTGCCAGGCAAGGTGAGACTCAGCGACAACAATTTCACATGACAATGTTCATGTACATATGGATGGAACAATGTATGACTGCACTCCGGGCAAGGCAAGGGCAGGCTTACAGAATTCAAATATCAATATCTCAGCAGCATTTGGATTTTTGATAGGGAAAAATCTGTTTTGCCCTACCTCAATAAAGGCAGCCAACGTTAACATGGATCATTGATTTGTGAACTGCACAACTGTATCATCAATGATCAGTTTTATCTCATATTTCAGGGGTCTTTGATGATGGTGTTGTGCAAGGGGTTCACCAATACACCTCATTTTACAGCAGGAAAGTTTGGGAGGAAAAATTATCACTCCTTTGTGGTGCCCACAGAGGAAACTTGTCAAAGCCTCATGCTAATTAGTCAGAAAAATATATTTTAATGACCATGAGGGATGAACAGGAGAGAGGAGGAGGAGGCAACATTTATGGGACTGCTACAAATTTGGGAAACATATATTTAACTATGATTAATCCTGTAAATTTATTTTTACATTATAAGATAATGTATCGATTGTAAGAGAATAATGAAAGTCAATGTTTATAAATAACCAGTAGGGAACATGTACCAAGGGGTATACGTATGGGGATGTGAATTGGACAGACAGCAGTGGTGAAACCACTCACTGCTAAACAGGATAATGAAGTAGTGTAAATGACCTTTTGACCTGTTTGTGTATATACATGTATATAGAGCAATCATTTTAGCTTCTCCATACATAATCATACAGTGAAAATATTTCCAGTGGTTCGTATGTTTCTCGGAAAAAAACCCCAATCAAACTTACCCCAAGTATTCTCCTGGTATAGAAGTAATCAATTGAGGTCTCAAATCTCAAATACGCCTCTACAAATATCCCGATGTTTGCACCTAACCATAATGCCTGAGGGAAAAAAAAGACACATTATACAAAGATGACACAATTGTATCAAATATCAAGTATGCCCCTACAAATATCCCAATGTTTTCAAACACTTGTATTTATGAACTTGAGTATAAAGGCCCTGAAAAATGCCAGGTGGTGAAATTCCTTATTGGCATCAAAGAGAGGATGACTTTTTCCTCATAGGAGCTTGGTATATTTATATATTTAAAACAGTTACTCTATTTTGGTTATCTGTTATCTTGAATTAATTACATAAGCCACCCTTGAAGATTTGATTTTATTCTTGTGATGACCACACTTGATTAAATTAGTGTTTTGTGATGTTTTGATTGAATAGGACTATAGCATATCAGAAGTATGGGTTTTCAGACTGGTTATTTATGTAATCCAACTGATAAAGAAAGAATAAATATTATAAGACTCTTTCATGTCCAGGGGTGTAGGATAGGGAAATTCCACCCGAGGGTTTTTCAAATTTAGTAAAAACCCAAGGCTTTGCCGAGGGGTTTTGCCAAATTTGAAAATACAGAGGATGGAATTTCCCTATCCTACACCCTTGGGCAGGAAAGAGTATTTTTCTCTCATTCCAACTACCAGAATAAGCTCAGAAACCATGAATATGCGGTTGGACTAGCCACCATTTTGAAAATTTCAATTTTTCCCCTGAGCTTTTTCGACGAAAACGAATTAGCCAGCCATATTAATCATATCCCATATTAGCAAACAATGTTTATGCAGAAAATTAATCACAACTTTCTAACATGTACGGTTAAAATATTGTGAAAGGTTTTAATTTCATCACATCACCTTTTCTGCACTGCATCGGAGAGTTCCAAATTCGTGATGTCACATCATTGTTGAGTCATTGTGACGTCACGTGAAATGGGGTGTAAGATAGAAATTTCCTACACCCGTTTCTTACCCTGGACAGCTCTATTTTACACACAGGGAAATGAGAGAAAAAAAATCTTGGAGGCACATAATAGGTCTTTTAAAGATAAGATTTAACCCCATTTTCCTTATTTGGGTCATATGCTCCTCAACTCCCTGAGACCATGATCTTCAGTTATACAACACAGAACCCCCCTTGACTCTGAGGCACTCCATAGCCAATCAATTAGTCTTTTACAGATTAGTCTGTTTTTCCACAGACTCTCTGTATGGGAGAGGCCAAAGACTTTATTTACATAACTTTGAATTTCCTTGGCTTAGAGATGCAATGCCAACTAAAATCCCTTACACCTACAGACTATGGATTAACTCATTTCACCCTGAAATTTCATAATGAATTATTCCAACCTTTGATTAGAAAGAGTTTAAATGTGTCTTCAGGGGTGAATGAGTTAATAGCCTTTCATATATTAAACTTAATTATTTTTTGTACACTACCCCACCACTCCCAGGGGGCTTCAACCGTCATTGCATTTGTACAAGGGCCCGGGGGTGCAATATACCAAAGTAGACTAGTAGTCTTTTAAGGGAAATATTGACATCAGACTAAGACTGCGGTATCATTTAAGGCCAGGTGAGCTAATAAAATGATTGGGTAGATATTTTTTTCCTTGTCATAAAGATTAGCATATATATAGAGATATATATATAACATTGTAGAAATATTCTAAAAGGTATCTTGTTACGTGTACATTTACAGACCTTCAATTCTGATTTCATCAGTTGGTACAAGTCTACAACAGGAAGTGATCACAAGGATCCATCATCAATCCATTCAATTTCCAGTGGAAAGGAATGACCTAGCAAGCACTGCAAGACACCATAACCAAATCACTTATATAGGCTTATACATTGTCGAACAGATAGAATTGATGCATGCCCCTCCATGCTCCTAGCAGGTAAACATACACATTCATGTATTTACTACAGGTTATAAAATCAAGTCTATAGCTGTAAATTATACACCTATTCCACTTGTGTGAAAGCCATTTACAGTTATTATAGAAATCTAGTACTCTCAATGCATGTACACAGTTCAGACTGGAAAATGCCATAAATTTTCAGGACTAAAAGCTTAGAGAAAAGTTTCTTAAATTTCATTTGAAAAGAACGAAATTATGTTCCTTCTTATATGATAACGTAATAATGTATACATTAATTACCAAGAATGAACACAATTATTGCCTGCAAATTTTGCAAAGAAGAAGTTGACAAACCTTAGGTCTTCGACATTGTCATCTTGTCTTCATGTACTGTTGTCACCAATGTGAAGTCACAATGCTATGATGTTTATTTTGCCTTTTATGATACTAGAATATATACCCTTTCAAAAGAGTTTTTAATATTTAAAGCTTTCAAAGGGTGATTTTTAAACATTTTCAATGTTGGTGTATGCATGAGATTCCAGTATAATACCACAATCTGCACAAGTGGTGGAGGTCATGTCGGGTTGACCCTCACAAATGTAGGTGACATGGCAGGTTATTAATGGCTGATCAGTAGACATTGGTAGTCAAGTTCAGTACAGCCAAATTATACACAACAGGAACTGTTGTCCTCCTGTCAGAAGGAGCTGGGGAGGGTATACAGATTCTGTGTGTCATTGCCCTAAAAATGGCATACGTTTCTATTTGGAGATATGGTCAAAGGGAGGACAAATTCTAAGAGCTCATACTTACACTTATTCACCGTTAGGGGGGGGGGACAATTACAATTACAAGGGGAGCTGCTGATGAAACTGTTCAAACTATAGTGGAACCCACTCAATATAATATCAGATACTATGATATCATGCTTATTATGATATTTTTTCCAAGTACCAATTTTTTACTCACTCTAAACTAAGTAAAAAATATGTTTATTATGTACTTCATTGCCACTATAATATATCCAAAGATCTATTCCAGTACCAGTTGTATTCAACATTAAGACATTTACCTTATATATATATACTCAAATATATTTTAGTTTTTATCAGACGAGTCCTGAACATCATCTCAAAATGTTGATAAGTCCCACTAAGATCTAATGTTAATATGAAAACAGCCTGTATGCCTGGAGTATAACAATTTAACGGTGACATTTTCTGAAACTTTACTTTCATAAAACATGTACATTTATTTAAAGTAAATGCAAAACTAATATATTGCCATAATCATCAGGTATACGTGATATTTAGTCAGTTTATGGACGACATATAAACTGCACCATCATGTTTATTCAGAAATGCCCACTTGTGTACATCAGCTGCCTAATGATAATTTTGAGTCACTTATTTGTCAGTGGTCGGAAGTGTTCTCGGAAGTGTTCTCAAAATTGCTCTAATATCATACTAATCTGGGGTATCCTATGTTACTATTGCCCATGTAATTCACACACACAGCACTTCCTGTATAGAATTAGAGTGGACAGAGAAGTACCTAGTACATGGGTCAGGATGTCAGAATGTTAAGCCTTTATATAACATCTCAATAGTTCTTAAAAATATTTTTTAATAATTTGGTCACATGTCCTTTCATGCACATTTATGAAACATGCACAGGTTTCCACTGACATAAATCACTTATATTAACTATGACTTATTTGATCTTTGAAGCCTTGAAAATAGGTCAAGATCATTCATTGGAACAAACTTGATAGCCCCAATCCAGCTATACCTATACACACAAATTATTATATGACCATGTTTTTTGGTTAAAGGGGCTGGTCGGGAAAAAAATGTCATATTTGCTAAAATGGCATACACATGTTTAAAATACCTTCTTATGAAATATACTGATTCAAATTTTGCTGAAATTCACTCCCTTAGAGTTAAAATTATAATTATATTAAGGAAATCCTAAATCGTCACCTGACAGTCTAAAACTCTCAATTGACCCAGATCAGTGATGTAATTTTACCGCACGCGCATCATCAACAAGGCCAAATGTAAACATCGCGGCGAAAGAAAAAGATGCATTCAAAAGTCATGACAGGCACGAGTCGACGGTATCAATACCGTTGTATATAACAACAACATATAGGTAGGAATACTACACTTGCATTATACATGACCTTTGAAAACAATTATTTACGTATAGTATTGCTGTCTTGTCCGCTAGTTGAGTCCGACATGCCACATGACGGCGTGCTGTTGTTGTTATCTTCACTGCCTCACTTTCGAAACAACTACGTGACATATATAAATATGTATATATATATAGTGGTCAAAACTGGACATTGCAAGCAGAACTGGAACATCATATTGCCGTGGTATAACTTTTGGAAGGCCAGAGAACGCATTTAGACCCATCTATTTTGTATTTTTTTCCCCGACCAGCCCCTTTAAGTATCGATACATGTATATGATGTATATATATAAGTCATTTGATTTTTTTTTATAATGTATGTGACCCATAGTACGACCTTGCAAGTTGGTTTAGGTCATTCTAGAACTTTAGTAGCCTTTCACCTCCAGCAAACGACATACTTACCAAAAATCTAGGCATCCTGTAGAATTATTCTTTAAATAATTTATAGTAATGTGATCTTGACCTTTGACCTTTCTTTTGCCTTGAGAGCAATTAAAACAAATACTTTGGACAAGGACAATTTCCAATATTCAGGAAACATGAATGAATGTGCCTTGAGTTACCCAGTAATTGTTTTCATGACCCAATTTCTTTTTGAGACAATTAAACTCTACTCAAAACATGAAACCGATCTGTTTGTGTCAACATATATAGCCTTAACCTCCAGCACATCCTGCAATGTATGTACAGGAACCTAGGGATAACAGCCCTTATTGTCTGGTGTAAAGAAGAGCTATAGTTTTTTTTCCTCTGCTCTAAATGATGTAAAAGGCTGAGCAGCATCCAACTTCCAAGCCAAGAATGAAAGGATAACTTTTTATAGTAATATTACTGATCAACAACTCTTATATACACTACAGCTATTTTCTGGTTTTACACTGATAAATTTAAATATTGGAACCTGCATGTATAATAAAAGTCCTCACTACAACTAGTAGGCAGTCATACAGACTACAGTGTAGATACAATCAACTTTAGAAATAGGCCAAAACGCATAAATAAATGTTTCCAAGTGCATTGTAGGCCTAACACAAAAAAGAAAATGCAACAGCCAAACAGGTATTCAAACATATGGGACCTCCGAACTCTAATCAACTCATGATCAGTCTAGTTCCGCTTCTTCAACAATATCAACCATAAAGAAATAGGAGATCCCACACCACCTTTTGTGGGTTTGTTTAGTTGGTAAGTAAAAGGAAATGAAAATGCAATAGCCACACCAGGTCATTCAAACCCTTAAACTTGGCTCAGAATTTTAGACATGCTCTAGCTAGAACCAAATAACTAATCAAAACGTTGCCTCGCCACCCCCTGACTCTCCCCTAATTAAGCACATTGTTTTTGAAAAAAAAAGCCAATAGCAGCAATATATTCTTACACGATTTGATTTTATATTCTTTTTCATATAGCTATGTTGATTTTAATTATATATTTAACATTATACATTAAGCAGTGAATGTAATTAAGGTAAGAACAATTGTAAGCTGACAAAAAAGCTTACATGTAACAGTTACTGTACACTCTTATCTGTTTTGCAAATAAAAGTTGAATCAAAAATACATATTCCTGACGTCAGGTCGTATCACAATAAACTTTACCTATATAAAGAAATAGCCTTTATGGTAGTTGATACCTCATTTTGACTACACACCCTTTAAACCTGTTTACAAAGCATGTAGGTTACAGTACAGTACAGTACATTTTGTATCTTCAAAATTACTTACAATGACAATCCACCTTGGCAAATCGTTCAATAGTTTCCCACAAAACATGTTTACTGTTTCAGGGAACGTTCATTGGCGTGCATGTGTGTCTACTTCTTTATCCGTCAAGATTTATAGCAGACGACCGGTGATGTATCGCTCGATAGGCTTCGTCACACAGCTCATCTTTGTAAACAAAACACATGCTACTCTCTCTTCCTGTAAGAGTATGATTACGCCCTCTGGTGGTGGAACGTTAATTTTACACGAGTTACCTACACTTAATACAATAATGACGCCGGGATTGCCTCCCTTTCACTGTTACGACTACATTGGTGAGCTTCTGAGCTAGAAGACAGTTTCGCATACATGAGAAATTGTTCACATTTTCTGATGAATTTTAAACACCACCATTTATACTGTCTTTTTATTATTTGCCAATTTTTGGCCTTTGATTTTTTTTTTAACTTTGTTAAATTCTATATTACCAAATGCTACAATTAGCTCTTATCACTAATGTTTAGAAATAAACAACTAAATTAACACAAGTTATAAAATATCTGAATTATAATAACTTTGTTCCTTTTGTACCAACAGTTAACACAATTATTTCATATTTACCAAATGTGGGTAAAAGTAGGTAAATGAGGAAGAAATCTTTAAAATCATTTTAAAGTAAAAGGTAGCAGAGGGTTCTAATCAATATAAGGATAGGGTAAAAAAAAGGTCCAAGTTGATATGATTTGGCTTTCAAAGTTTACAAATGGTAATTATATTAATTTTTGGTAAAAATTGAACGATCGAAAATATTGCAGACCCAGGGAAGTCCCTAGATTTTTGTCTCAATATAATGTAGATTTTGTGAATTTTAGTTCAGACAGCGTTGCCTTATAACATCTTTGTATAATAATTAAAATTAAAGTAAAATCTTGTTTACTTAAAACATTAAGCTGCACTTTGCCATCTATGGTTGTATATTTTCTGAACAGGAATGTAAAAAAATATTATATGATAAACTTGTTGTCTGCCGTCTTCTCTAGAATCATAGAACTACAGCTAGGAACAGATTGAATACAGTCTCTTATTGTTTTTATTTATATTTTTCATGAATTTTGATGATACATGAATAATTAAATTTTGCCTATCTCCCCCATAATATATTTTTGGTATATATCGTATATACCTAAAAAGAAAAACAACTGATGAAGGAACTACTTCAGAATGCAAAATTACAACACAGCTTTTTTTTAGCGCAATTGTTTAGTTTACGTAAAAATTATATAAACCTTTAATTGTGTTTGTCTACTTTTTTAAAATTAAATTATAAAGAATGCCCAATATTTTGTTTTGGTATATACGGCATATACCGAAAAAAAATCTTGGTCATTCCTTAAATACATTAATTTCATATTTGTTATTTGAATCAATTTGAACAGCTGTCATCCACACTAGCCAAGTAGGGTTAGACTCAAGTTAGCTTAATTCATTCAACAGAGCATCACATACTTTGGCATTTTACACGATTATTTTGTCAAATTACAAACAAAAATATTATGTCATAATAAATACAATTGCAGTTTCTTTTCCGTGATAAATTGGCAAGTACCAGTGACCTGAACTGTACCAGTGTAGTAGTCTCCATACTCACAACGGACTTGTGTAAGTGTATAAAGTGACTGCAGAGTAAATCTAAAAGGATCTATGCCTCACTGCACTCTGGTTTCACATATACAATAAACTCCCCAAAATTCCATCTTGGACAAAACTGTGAGCAATAGTATAACAGTCCAGGGATTGAATCCCTATTAATAATCGGAACACTGTTACTGGTTAGCTATTGGCTTATTTGACCTCTATTGTTCTTATCTATCAAATATATATCTTAAGTGGAAAAATCAGTTTCCAGGACATATATGTCTATAGTAACAGTTTTTGGCAGCATGGGGGGGGGGGGGGGGGGGGGGGGGGATTTTTAACTGTTGGTAAAGTGTACACCTCATCATAAAAATAACTTCTTAAAAGCAAACCAATATTTAAATCTTTTATTATCATAAAACATTTTCTGAACAAATGTGAATTAATAAAACATATGATACACAGATAGTGGGCCCATTGTATAAGCAATGCCATTTTAAACCAACAAATAAGGGGAGATAATCTAAACAGGGGGGAGTTGTAACTTAAATATCTGGCAAAAATATTCAACCAAATACAAAATGAGACTATTTTCTACCACTGAAGCTATTGGTATCATTTCTACCACTGAAGCTATTGGTATCATTGGGGAAATGGAAAGCTAGACATTTTGAGACATTATGAAACTTATAATAAACAAGAGGCCCATGGGCCTTAACGGTCACCTGATATATTTATACAGAGAGTTGATTTTGTTTTTAACATGAACAGAAATATTATTCAAAGTGACAAAAAACAATAAAACCACCTTACTCAATATCTAGCATACAGATTTCAGACTAAAAAGGATTTGAAACTAGCACCTCTGATTCTTAACAAGGAAAATGAAGAAATTTTAGCACACTGACTCCTTTGAGCCCCACCCTACAGCCCTTGGGGGTAGGGCTGGCTCAAAATTTTCAAAGTATCAAACTGTCAATTCAAGGTTATAATTCCAATCAAGTTATTAACATGTAATNTATATAAACTAAAAGTTTACCCCCTCCCCAGGGGGAAACGTGAGACCCCAGGGTCATGAAATTCACAATTTCGGTAAAGCACATTAAGACCCTTCCATCTATGTCTGGGTCTTGAAAAGAAGATTTTTGAAATTTCAGTCAATTCAACCCTTTTAGGCCCCGCCCCTCAGGCTCCTGGGGGCTTGGGACTAAACCGGCCACTATTTTTGTTGACCTTTGACCATGGAAGGTTCCTGCAAAATTTCATTGAAATTGGTTCAGGGGTTTTGGAGAAGAAGTCGAAAATGTAAATTGTTTATGGACGCACGACGGACGACGACGACGACGGACAAAAGGCGATCGCAATAGGTCACTTGAGACTTTGTCTCAGGTGACCTAAAAAAAGTAGTGACTGGTTTGGTCATTGAAATAGATGTAACATGTGTAAGACATGTTTGATCAATTGTGTCCGATGTTAAGTTGGTCAAAAAAGTAGGTTTGTACAATAGGTCCATCACACAACCTCAGCATTACAACATAGTTTACCGACTAAAACTAAACAATACGTTTTTTCTGTTATGAAGTTTGGTCAAATTAAACACAAAATCTAGACATCTATATACATTTGTTCAGAGAAAATACAATATATATTTACCTAAACATTTACCATTAATGCTTTATCAAAATGCATACAATTTCAATTAGCTACAAATAATTTCTTGTTCAGTATGATTTTAAAAAACAACACAAGTCACATGCATACATACTCTTTGCAAATACGGTACTGAAGAACTGAAAATGTTACTTTTAAAATTATGAGGAAATAATTTGCATCAGAATTATAAATGATACATTTAAGGCAGCAAATTTATACGCTTTGATTTAAAAAAAAAAAATCTTTGTAGAAATTGCTTTTGTTTAGTGACAACAGAGATGTCTTACTAAACAACAATATTATAATGAGACTATAAACAATGGATTTATGTATTAACAATAACCACATTTTCAAAATGTCTGAGAAATTATGAATTAAAATGAAATTTCCAGCTTTACGTATCCTACATTTTCACATAGCAAAAAGTACTTTTTTGCAAATTTGTTTTGAAAAGATGTCAAAATTGAAAATGTTGGTGAAAAAGAATGATTTCTCTGCCAGCCTCTCTTCTACAATGTGACATCATTTTAGTTATGCTGTCGTTCATATTAATTTAATAAGAACATAAAAATATATAACCACACCCAAATATGGTAGAGATTTTCTGCATCTGTTTTATACAGGATAGAGATATCCTACGTCTGGCTGGTTTGCACAGCACAGAGCTTTCTTATACCTGTCTCATGTACGACACGTAACAGGCACCAGGAGAAAAGTGATAGTCTTCTTACTGAAGTGTATAAACAGTTACAATAATGTACACCTAGACACTACAAATGACAGGATTTTCTAATTAAAAAAGAAATTTGAAAAAGCTTTTTCAAAAATCAAAGTACCAAAAGCCTTTTACCAGGATCCAAACATTATCAATCTTGCTGCAGGATTATGGGAAATTCATGAAAGATAACAGGAAAGCTCTCTTGAAGAAAAAATCATTGATTTTATAAATAAGTAAATAATTATGAAGTTAAAAGAATTAATGAAAACAAATCTCACTTAATATAATTATGTATGATTATATTAAAGATCAAGATGATTAAAAATAAGGAACATATATACAATAGGATCATTACTTTATGACATTGTTCTATAAGACACTGACATGGATCAAATAGGAACTTCTATAATACTGGCTTAAATCATTGGAATTTCCTTTTCTTTAGCAGAAAATTTGTTTTCTTGGGATTTTCCTCAAAATCAAAGTGAGGCTTGATGATTTCCAGCTGTATAACATGCTTAAACAGGGTGAATCTTCTCAGCACACACTGTTCACATGTGAATATTCTTACTTATGTAAAAAAGATGATATCAATGAAATTAAAGTGATTGGATACAATTTTTCACATTGTTTTCTTTAACTGCTTGATAAGAATATTCTACTGTGTTTGTTAAACGGTTTTCTGTGAAGTTTGAAACAAATAATATGAAGAAATGGGAAAAATGATAAATACTTATAAAATGTCATCATACATGATGAGGTTTTCACACAGAAGTTGATAGACAATATGAGGAGGTATACATGTACAATTTTACTTAGGACATTCTTCAAGGGGAAAAATTTAAATTTGGTGTTTGAATTTCATTGAAATATCTTAATGCAGAAATATGAAATTTCTGTCTCCAGTATCAATAATTTTGATATTTATTATTGATAATTTCTAAATGAGACCTTTTACAAAATCTACTACTAACAACCACTACAAATAAGACACAATCATTGTTCCATTGGCTTATGCGACTTTCCTTCAATAATGGAACACATAGTCTGGATGGTAAATTAAAGTTGTTATGGATTTCAAAATACTGTAAATCACTTTATATTAGTTTCCTAAGTATTTTTTTTCGTATACTTTTTCTTTCTTTTTTCTTTTTCACAAATTGAAATTGAGGGGATGCTATTTCAATATTGATTGCTTTTAAAGATGGAATTAATATTTGTGAAAGATTCAAATTCATGAATGACTTTTTTTCTGAATTGATAAGTAAATTAATCTCTCACAAAAATAAGTGATTTGCAGTAAGCTTTGTCAAAGGTATCCAGCATCAGCTACACAACTGACCTTGAGTTTTTGTAGGTCAATCCTTTAGTATGAGGACGCAACTGTCCTTATTTTTCATGTATATAATTGTTAATTTATTTGCAAACAGTTGAAAATTACATTCTCAAAATTAAGAAAATTTTAAATGAATATGAAACTAGTAAGTATTACTATCTTATCAAATTATCACCACATTTTCTCTCCAATGTTTTCGTTCAGTAATACTTTGATCTATAAATGAACTGTTTTCAGGAAAATAGAATAACATATATTCTATTAAAGGTTTTTCCAACAATAAGATCCTAATGATATTCTTTTGGATGTAAATGCTTGACATTTTTTATTGTAAGACTAAGTGTAAAGTTCGACACTAGCCTTCATCAGTTAACATCACAGTCTTTAAATAAAATCTGTTTTTCTGTTTAATCAGGAGTTCTCGGTACACGATCTTGTTTTAACACTTTTGCGTTGACAGTGATCTTCCCCTTGAAGAACTTCCCGCTGTTTGCGCTGAACGCCGTTGCGACACTCCTCCCAGTCTTGCCAGGGCCCAAAGAAACATCTCTCTGTGTTAACAAACAAGGAAAGCTTTAGTCAAACATTGTTACACAAATGTACATTTGAGAAAAAAATGATGTATGCTTAAAAATAACACACAGAGAAAAAGAATAAGCATGATATGTACTCATACACTAATATAATGATTTCATCGGTGACATGTGACATAATAATAATATAAATGTAAACTGCAGGCTAATTAGTACCCTTTGTGATCTTTATGACAGTTTTGGTTGTAGTAGATACTCGAAAAGATACCACTCACAATGAAAAGTAAATTATATATAGTTCACAACTACTTTGATATTTTAGGGAGAGATGTCCAGACAACTTCGAATGGATGGTATTTTAGGAGAAATAGTTGCAGTCTTTCTGTTTTGGGCAGAACTCTCTTTAAATAGAAAGAAATACATTTTGAATGCAGGTTTACAATTATATAACCAGTCTGGTATTAAGGAGTAACTGTTGTGGTACGCTCTTAAAATCAAGGGGCATAACTCCCTTAAAATGGGAGGATACACAAACTAAAATTTGATTGCTGCTGCATAACTTCATAAGATACTGATCAAGTATACAAAGTTTCATTTAAATCACTCTGGGTGTTTAGGAGTAATCATTGTGACAAAATCTTTCTAAAAAAATGAAAAGAGCAGGAAATTACACTTTGAGAGCGGTTCACAAGTGCATCTTGTATTGTAAATTGTACAAAGTCTTATTGAAATCAGTCCTGATTCAATCTAAACACTTGACAACGTAAATGTCAAGCTAACAAATGATAATACATCTGTGTTCAGACAATACAGTTACAAAGTGGCACAATAGTTGATAGAATATATACACTTATACAAACACACACAAAACTATATCTGGTAGTTAAAAACTGGGATTCATTTGATCCATTCATCCTCACTCAAAGATTCTGCCAAAAAAATCAAGCAACATCTTAATGTTAATCTAATGTTTCTTGTTTTTTTTATAAATTTTCTTTGAAAATAAGAGTGTATGAACTAACAATGTTTTGCTGTATATATATTTTTTCTTATGTTACTAAGGACAAGAGGATCAAATGAAACTCACATTTTTTGGCATGGGTGTTCAAAGCCATATTAGATAAGGACCAAATTACACAAATTTCTCCACAAGATGTATTTTCAAAATTTCAAAACTCACACAAAATCATATTGATTCAACATTAACATCAAAAGACATAAAAAAAGGTATTTTGAAATTTTTAGGAAATTAAAAGCAAAATATCATCTTGAAAATTTGAATTCATGATTTGAACAGCTAATGCAGCTTCAAACAACCAAACCTTGTATACAGACTATTGGGTATGTTTCTATAGGGACATCCACAGGAGTAACCAAAGATCTTACATGTGTCTGAGGTAGAGGTCAGTATCTGGCTGAATATCTTTAGCTAGGCTGAGAAGATATAAAAATCATTTTACTGCCACACATCCTATCTGAAACATTGGCCTCATTTACATACACTATATAATATAATACATGTGTAGGTCCCATGAGATTATAGTCACTTTTCCTGAACTGCAAAGTCATCCATCATAGTTAAACATGTAAACCGACCCAAATCAGCAATAACTCTAAATAGTTCAGCCAGAACATTCAGTTGGCCTGAAATGTTTATCCAAAGATAGAGGTTGTATGGCATTCAAGAGATTTGACATTTGGTGGTCGACAAAGTTCAGTACACAATTTTTGATTGGTCCTGATGTGACAGTGGTTGTGTGTGAACCTTGTGCTGCCCTCTGGTGTTATCAGAGACAGCCCGAACTTCCTCTGGGCGCTGGCACATTTATTATTAATACAATTCATTATAGAATGGGGTGGCTTTTAGTGGGAAAATACCACACATATTGTCAACCTGACATTGACTGTACACTAAACTGGGTCACACAGAGAGAAAAGGACACCTTTGGAGTTCAACTGCAACGAGGACAAATATCAAAGAGGTTCAACATCATTAAAAGTCATGCCTTATTTTAAGATAGTCAATTGGAAAAGAAAAATTGACTCTACAACAATTTCTTTTAAATGAAGGAAAGTTAAGTAACAAAAATCAAAACATGACTTAATTCCTTTATATATTATTGTAAACCTCTTTTTTACCTGACCCCCAGTGTTTGTGTATTCTTCAGATAATGACATTTATGTACCCTATATATACTGTGTATCCCTTTATGTCACCATGTACACATGTACATACAAACAGTGCCTGTAGTAGATACTGGGATTTACAGTGGTGATTTACCGTGAAGACACTATTTTAATACTGATGTGATTATCTGTGGAATAAATATTCACAGGAGATTTAAATGCACAAGTCTCCTCATGAAGTAATGTTTAAAAAATGTATCTCTCATGAAAAAACAGTGAATTACACTAGACAAAAGTATATGTACACCTTATTGAAATCTCACAAAATCTACTGTAAAATGAAGCACACTCTCATTGATATATTGTATAACATCTTTTTATCACAATTTTTCTTTTCAAAACTTCAGTGCTGCATAATTCTGTTTCTAGAGTTTCATAAAATCAGCAATGGCTATTAAAATCAATTAAGACAATAAATAGCTGACAGTCCTATACCTACTAAATAATAAATTCCTAAGGAAGGTTCTCACCAGGCATTCAATACATGTTTTAAATATGACACCCTCTACAGTGAGTAAAGGGAGACTACTCAATCTTTATGTTAACAGCTTAATTAGGTGCATACAAATTTATCTTTCAAAATCTTCCACACTAAAATGGCTGCACTGAAATACAATGTATCAACTTAACTGAAATGTAGGTAAAGAGCAAAGTCATAACAAAGTTAAAACAATATTCTGTAGGATGACAGTGATGACATTGATGACAGTACTGTTAGACGATACCTGCTGGTTGTTAGATTTGGATAAATGAAACTCTGGCAAGTAATGCGAACCCACATGCCCCGCCTTACAACAAATATTATGATTGTAAACCAGTACCTCTACCTGCTGGGTGGTAACTGGTCAGCATTGATACGTACCTTGCCCATTAGGCCTGGCACACGACCTGGACACAGTTTTCTCCAGCACACATTTTCTAGTGTCACCTGTCACTAGTGTTTTTGTCTTTGTCCTCTGTCCACTCAAAACATTACAATCTCCCCAAGGTCCAGACTGGTAAACACAACCTGCAAGTACACAACCTCGCACATTAAATTCCTCAAATATATTTACCCTTGTAATGAAGAATGTGTTGGCACCAAGTAGCAAGAGGCACACAGGCCTAAATGGTCACCTGAGCTGTTGTAAAGATGTTTAATGTTGCGATTTGAAGTAATTATGTAGTGTACCACCAGTTATATAATGGGGTTTTTAACAGAATAATGGAATAACAACATAATCCTTAAGTTTTGTGATCCCTGTGGAAAAGTTGGAACATTTTCTCTGTCTATGATAAAAGGTGAAGGTCAATATTTGAGCAAGTTTTGTAGTAGCCCTTCATTCCAGATATATGCTGATTATATGCTTTACCCCTATGATTGTGACCTTAAACACTTTTTATCGCTCTCCTGTCTAGCTACTCTGCTAGGTACTGACCAAATATCACAATCCTAAGTTTTACCCTTTTTCAGAAGAAGTTGCTTGCTGGATTTTAATAAATCTGACATTTGTAACCTTGTCTTCAAGGTCAGCCTCGGTCATTCCTTGAAACAAACTTGAAAGCCATCATCCTGTATTTTGCTGCCAAGAATCATGACACTAAGTTAAAGGGTTTTAAAAAGTGTGTGATCCATATGAGTTTAATATTGGGTCAAGGTCATTCATTTGAACAACCTTAGTCACCTTAGGCCTCTTGGTTATTCAGACGGAGTTGTTAATAGTTCTAAAACATTCAACTTCAGTGACCTTGCAAGAGAGTTAAGATCATGCACATGGAAAGACTTGATGGTCCATCATACGAGCATACTTCTGTTCTGATATCATCACTTTAGTCCTCCTGGATATCAAGATAGTGTTGTTTAAAGAAGAAAAAAAGCTGCATGATGTATGCTATGCTAATTAACGTACAGGCACACCATGCTAGGTAAGCTAAAGTATTACAATACAGCAGGCAGCTTCAGTTTCCAACTGCAGGGAAATGTAACACTGAATGATTTACGGGGTATTAAGCACTGAGTGAACTTAGGGAGATTACGTACTCAGTTATATCTTGAGGTTTAATACTGAGTGAGCTTAGGGAGATTACGTTCTCAGTTATATCTTGTGATTTAATACTGAGTTAACTTAGGGAGATTAAATACTCAGTCATATCCTGATATTTAATACTGAGTGAACTAATGGAGATTACGTACTCAGATATATCTTGAGATTTAATAAACAGTGAACTTAGGGAGATTGCATACTCAGTCATATCTTTAGATTTAATACTGAGCAAACTTAGGGAGATTACCTACTCAGTTATATCTTGAGCTTTAATGCTGAGTGAACATAGGGAGATTACGTACCCAGTTATATCTTGAGGTTTAATACTGAGTGAGCTTAGGGAGATTACGGTCTCAGTCATATCTTGAGTTTTAATACTGAGTGAGCTTAGGGAGATTACGTAATCAGTTATATCTTGAGGTTTAATACTGAGTGAGCTTAGGGAGATTACGTACCCAGTTATATCTTGAGGTTTAATACTGAGTGAACTAATGGAGATTACGTACTCAGATATATCTTGAGATTTAATACATGGTGAACGAAGGGAGATTACATACTCAGTTATATCTTGAGCTTTAATGCTGAGTGAACTAAGGGAGATTACATACTCAGTTATATCTTGTGATTTAATACTGAGTGAGCTTAGGGAGATTACGGTCTCAGTCATATCTTGAGATATAATAATGAGTGAACTTAGGGAGATTGCATACTCAGTCATATCCTGATATTTAATACTGAGTGAAGTTAGGGAGATTACGTACTCAATCATATCTTGAGATTTAATACTGAGTGAACTTAGGGAGATTACAGTCTCAGTCATATCTTGAGATTTAATACTGAGCAAACTTAGAGAGATTACGTACTCAGTTATATCTTGAGATTTAATACTGAGTGAACTTAGGGAGATTATGTACCCAGTTATATCTTGAGATTTAATACTGAGTGAACTTAGGGAGATTATGTACCCAGTTATATCTTGAGATTTAATACTGAGTGAACTTAGGGAGATTACAGTCTCAGTCATATCTTGAGATTTAATACTGAGCAAACTTAGAGAGATTACGTACTCAGTTATATCTTGAGATTTAATACACGGTGAACTTAGGGAGATTACGGTCTCAGTCATATCTTGAGATTTAATACTGAGTGAACTAAGGGAGATTACGCACTCAGTCATATCTTGAGATTTAACACTGGGTTAATTTAGGAGGACTCTCAGCAAAATCTAGTCACAGCTAAGAAGCACTCAGTTATATTTCACACCAACAAGATGAAAAAATGAAAAAAAACACCACTAGGTTGCTATAAAGCATATCATATAAGTTAGAAATATATATCTTCCATCATAAATAATTCAGCACTGATTCATATGTTTCTTGTAAACTAAAAACATGATGAAGAAAATGTTACATTATATTGGCCAAAGTATTCCTTTGTGCATCTAACAAAGCATCTGCTACAATCATCAGATATAAACTGCGAAAGACATGCTCGGAAATATGGAGGGGTTGTATGTAAAATTGAAATTTGACACACCTAATATAAAGCATACCCAACTAGGGCATTAACAGCATCATCTATGATTTTTTCTTAAAAGCATCAAAAACATCATGTAGTTTACATTAAATCTATTAATTTATCTTGCAAGAAGGTCACATTTTCAGTTGGTGAAGTAATTAAGTTTTTATTTTACATGATGCCATTTTCCCAGAGTACCTGTCAGTCTCACCATCTGTCAGAAACCCTATCTTTATAGATTTAACATCACTACAAATATTTCTCAATTAGACCAGAATGTTTTACAGATTTTATTCTGTTATTGAACATCCTAAAATAAACGTGCAAATTGAGAAAGTTTATCTTTATACCCTTCAAACCCAGACATATGTCAGCACAGCAGAGAGAGAATGTTGAGTTAAGATTGTTGTCAGTAAGAAACTTCTCCAACTGAGGCTGTCAGAGGATCCATTAGATTACAGACTTTCATGGACTATTGTATAATATTACTTATCTGAACTAGCTGAATATTCAACCTAATCTTGGTTACCTGAACAATACTGGTAATGAATTCATCAAAGGTATACTTCAACGGAGTATCTACCAGAAATTGTGATTGCAATTGATGAAAATGTAAGTGTTCTCATCTATGATAAACTCAATAAAAAAAATGTGTTAAAATTTAACTGAATTATCCCTAGACCCACTAACTATTGAAATCTTGAGGCGTTACTGACTTTGTATCTCTTGTCGTAATGCATTTAAAATGAAGACTTCTCGCATATAAGCTTATTACTGACAAAGACAACCCATAGATATGACAAAGACAACCCATAGATATGACAGAAACAACCCATAGATATGACAAAGACAACCCATAGATATGACAAAGATAACCCATAGATATGACAAAGTCAACCCATAGATATGACAAAGTCAACCCATAGATATGACAGAAACAACCCATAGATATGAAAAAGATAACCCATAGATATGACAGAAACAACCCATAGATATGAAAAAAACAACCCATAGATATGAAAAAGACAACCCATAGATATTACAAAGACAACCCATAGATATGACAAAGACAACCCATAGATATGACAAAGACAACCCATATATATGACAAAGACAACCCATAGATATGACAAAGTTAACCCATAGATTTTTTTCTACATACAAGCCACATATCCCAGAGCAAAGTAATCAGCAGACAAGATTATTACTAACACAGCTAGCCTTGGCCATTTAACAAGCTATTAATTCCTTTCCCATTACTGAACACAGATACAACTGAACATTTATCTGGTCACTATACAGTATGCAAGAAATAAAGACTTAACATGGAAAATCTTTAAATGAAATAGGATCCAGGTTTTAGATAAAGAATAAGAATTATCTTCCTTCATGTGCATGCCCTTTTTATGAAAATTCAATTCCATTGCAGAAAAATGTTATATTTCTGAAATTGTCAATAATTTTACGGCTTTTCCATGATCCCACAAACATCCCTTGACAACCAAGCACAAGATATCAGCTAATTCTCCATAACTTGAGTTACGACTTCTGTTTTATCGGTCTGTTGGGCTTTGCTGGTTATTGCCAATAACGTTGGTTTCCAGTACACATGGTACCACAGTCCATTGATGCAGTTCTCCCCATTTCAACCAAATTGAGAGGAAAAGAGACAAGTAAAAAAAAAAAAAAACGTAGTCAGCATTGTCAAATGTTCACATGATTAATATGTTCAAATGGTTATATAATATAAAAGGTCAAAGGAACAAAATCTTCATGAAAATGGTATCAAAAGATGTCAAAAATATCATAAGTCTAATACGTGCGAAGATCCACTTAATGTCAAAAGGTCATATATATAGTCTTCAAAACATGTAGTCAAATAGTCAGCAATTTAAAGAGTCGAATGGGCAAAAAGGTCAAAGGGTCATACAGTCTGCTTTTCAATGTTAAAGGATCTCATGACCAATCATTAAGGTCAACATGAAGAAATGATCCCAGTGTCAGCAAAAACAAATGGTGCCAATATTAACAAGAACAAACAGTCCCAATGTTAACAAGAACAAACAGTCCCAATATTAAAAAGAACAAACAATCCAACGTTAACAAGAACAAATAATGACAATGTCAGCAAGAACAAATGGTCCCAACGTTAACAAGAACAAACAGTCCCAATGTCAACAAAAACAAATGTTCCCAATGTCAGCAAGAACAAATGGTGCCAATGTCAGCAAAAACAAATGGTCCCAATGTCAGCAAGAACAAATGATACCAAGGTCAACAAGAACAACGGATATCAAGGTCAACAAGAACAAATGGTGTCAATGTCAACAAGAACAAACAGTCCCAAGGTTAACAAGAACAAATGGTCCCAATGTCAGCAAGAACAAATGGTCCCAATGTCAGCAAGAAC